GAATGATGAGGGCAATGAATGTACAAATGTGCTTTACACAATTGATGTATGTATGGATTGTGATAAGAATTGTATGAGGCCCTAATAAAACGATTAAAAAAGAAAGAAAAAAAAGAAATGGCTGTACAGAGATCCGGAACCCAAGGAGAGATTGGGCTTCCACCCTGATGGTGAGTGGCCAAGCCCAGCTGCTCTGTCTCAGCAGGGACCAGGCCCCAAACAGTGCCTTTCTCTGGTCAGGGAGGCAGAGATTACCTGGACAGCCACGGCCGTCTACTGCTACAAAAATCATTTCAGCCTAGTCAGCTACCTAACCCACTCCGCCAGTCAGTGCCAGCTCACGGCAACTCCGTGTGTGTGAGGTAAGAGAATGGTGCCCCATAGATTCATAGTCAGGGCTGGTTTTTCACAAGTCCATCCCCAGACTGGTCTCTTAAGGCATCTCTGGGTGGACTTGAACCTCCAACCTCTTGGTTAGCAGCTGAGTGAGTGTTTTAACCACCAGAGACTCCGTAAGATGTGTGTTTGTCTGATGCTGGAAGAGTTACTCTAGCAAAAGCCTCTTTTGTCCCTAACCTGCTATGTAGCTTCTCTTTGAACTCAGGCCTCTCGGGCCACCCGCTGCAGGAGAAGACACCGGGGACTTCGGGAAATGGCTTCTTTCATTGAGCCTCAACGGCCTGCCTGGAACTACCCCCTCTGATCCTGTCCTTGGGGCTAACAGGACATACAGAGCCCTTGGCCAGGGCCTGCCACCCTTCCCACTTTTGAGGACGGCTCTCCGGGCTTCCCAAGGTCTCTGTCCCTTGGGCTGAATGTCTGCAAGGTTATGTGAGACTCATCATTTTATCTCCGTGCCAGGAGCAGCGGGGAGTGAGTTTGCCTCTTGCCTCGGGAGCATGTAACAGCCACATCTCACTGTGGCTCTTAAGGCACCTGCCGTCAACGACAGCCCCCACACCTGCTACACACACACACACACACCTGCCGTCAATGACAGCCCCCCGTACCTGCTACACACACACACACACACACCACCACCCATCCACCCCCAGCCCACCCCCCCACCCACCCCCACCCCCGCACGTCACTGCGTTTGTCATCCTCGACTTAAGCTGATGGATTTAACCCGACAGCAAGGCAGCCATGTGTACTGTTCAATTTGATCATTTCAGCAGGTGGGGCTATTTGGGGCTCTCTACTGACACCCAACCACATATCAGTTACCTGCACGTCATTCACACACTTGATACGCACCTCATCTATGTCTACGTAGTGTAAACAAGCCCACGCTGCACCTTCTGACTTCCTCATGCCACCCAGCCCCGCAAGAGCAGCGTCTGGGTAGAAGTGTGGGATGGTGTGGAGCCAAGTCCACACCCGAAATGTCACCTACCTGTCGCATCTGCAGCCTCTCACAGGCCATCCTGAGATGTGTGTCAAATGCCACCCGGAAGCCCCATGCCTGTGAATAACATTTTAATCCCCTTGCGATTGAGTTTGTTCCATCTCATGTTGACCCCACGCAGTGTGGAGTAGAACTGTTCTCACGGGATTATCTTGGCTGCACTCTTTGCGGATGCAGTTTGCCAGGTCTTTCTTCTGCAGAGCCACTGGCTCAGTCTGAACCACCGGGATTTAGGTTAGCAGATTATCACAGACTGCCTGCACCTCCCAGGCTGCTTAGTCTTTTCATAAACTGCCCATAAAGCAGAGGAGCTTTTCTCCGTGGCCCAGGAGCAGGGCGAAGCTGTGATATGAGGCTTTCAGACACCCATCTGGGTTCCCTCTGTGGTGCTATACGCTAAAGCAGCTTCGGAGGTGAACTGGCAGCGAGTTTGTGTCAAAATGTCCTGTCACTCTTGCTAGCTATCGGGGTAGAGAGGGATCCTGAACAAGCCAACTGCAGTCTTTCTTCCTGGGCAGAGGCAGTTAGGGCGGGAATGTAGTTCTGCTTAAAAATGGCTGGGCAAAATGGTTGGTTGCCTAGCTTGGTAACTTCATTCCTCAGGAGGAGTTCTTGATCTCTTTAAAGTCTACCGGAAAAGGCCCGGGGCCCATTATCAGAATGTTCGTGACTGCCAACTCAGCCCCAAAGTTCTGCCCCGTCTCACATCCTATGAGTTGCTATTTAATCTTAATGCAGGAGATATGCATAACCTAATTCAAACCTAAATTCAGTTCTCCAAGATAAGCTAGGTAGTACTCACACCATTCCGTTTTTGTTCTTAATAAAGGATACTCGATGTCCAAGTGTTGTTAAGTTAAAAACCTGACTCTCAAATCTAGACAGCATGTCTGGCAAAGCTTTCACCCAACTCAATACACCGAGGAGCCGGTAACATGGTCACAAGAACAACTCACGGCCACTGACTCAGGGTGACCCCATGGGACAGGGTGGAACTGCCCCTGTGGGTTTCTGACACACAGGCTCTACGGGAGCAGAAAGTCTCGTCTCGCTCCTGCGGACCGGCTGGTAGTTTCAAACTGCTGACCTTACGGCTAGTAGCCCAATGTGTAACCCGCTCCCGCGCTGGGGGACACTGATCTTAGATACTTATAGGAGCCCTGAGTGAGCCTGCGGAGCAGCACTGGGCATGGCTTTCCTCGGGCCTGCATCCATGGTGCTCTCTTTCCAAGCCTTCACTACGTTCTTCACAACGTTCCCTGCTAAGAGTGCAGTGAGAGGCCCACTGTCTTATACAGGGGTCTGATGTGTGCCTGAAGTTACTTGGCATTGAATGTTAAAAGAATTTAACACTTTCATACCTTTTGAGCCAATCATTTTACTTGTAAGGCTTTGTGCATTACAAGTAAGAGATCCACGTACAACACTCATCCAATAAATGTGTTTGAGAACTCTGTGCTCAGATGGTAACCGCTGCCCTTTCATTAACTGCGCAGCAGTGGGAGCCATTCAAACCTCCAGCAGTGAGAGGTAAACTCCTGTGCATACTGTGATTGAAGATGGTATTTTTGAAGGTTCTTACCATCCTGAATACTGAGAATTATCAAATGCAAAGTCACATATTTTATGATGGCAGCCATACATACACTGATGAAGCTAATTCCTTCTGGAACCCCATCACACAGGAAAACACCAGCGCTCCTTCCCCTGCTCAAGGGACTGACTCAGCAGCCGTCAACCATGTCTTCGACTCAGACCAGAGCCACTGCATAACTCACCG